CCAGCTTACTTCAATGATGCTTGTTGTAACCTGTCTCTTAATTAGCAGTAGTTTGCTTCAGTAAGGAAATTAATTAAGTTGTTATATAAATGCTTCGTTTCCATTGCTGATATGTTGATTGATTATGTTCTTGATTGACAGGTCAAAGCAACAAACGGCGACACTTTCCTGGGTGGAGAAGACTTTGACAATACTCTGTTGGGGTTCTTAGTGAGCGAGTACAAAAACACTGAAAATATCGATCTGTCAAAGGATAGATTGGCCCTGCAGAGACTGCGTGAAGCAGCTGAGAAGGCAAAAATCAAACTCTCCTCAACAACCCAAACTGAAATCAATCTTCCCTTCATCACTGCTGATGCCAGTGGAGCAAAACATCTGAACATCACACTGACAAGATCAAAATTTGAGTCTCTGGTGAACAGTCTGATTGAGAGGACCAGAGAGCCGTGCAAGAGCTGCTTGAAGGATGCCGGCATAACCACCAAGGATGTTGATGAGGTCCTTCTCGTCGGTGGAATGACAAGGGTTCCGAAAGTGCAGGAGATAGTCTCTGAGATCTTTGGCAAGGCCCTAGCAAAGGAGTCAACCCAGATGAAGCTGTGGCCATGGGTGCTGCTATTCAGGGTGGCATTCTCCGTGGAGATGTGAAGGAGCTTCTTCTCCTTGATGTTACCCCGCTGTCACTTGGTATTGAGACTCTTGGTGGTATCTTCACCAGACTGATATCCAGGAACACTACCATCCCCACCAAGAAAAGCCAGGTTGGTAAACCACGTTTCACTCCTCCTGAACTAGTAGTATAATACTCCATGGTTCTCAAGTACTATGAACTAGTGTTGCATGTTCTTGTCATTTTTGCTGATTGTGTATTGCCGATCTTCCTCTGTTTAGATGTTCTTTTCATTTTTGTTCCAGTTACTTGAGATGTTTATGTGATGGCTTTGTGTCCAGTCATTGATAGATGGTGCAATTGAACATTGTTTTTGTCATGTTAAACTTGTGTCCAGTTACTGATGATTGTTGTTCGCAATTGAACATTGTACTGTAGTTTTTGGTCATGTCCTCTGATAGTGACAAGTTTTTCTTTTTTATCAATCTCTGTAGTACTATTAGCTTGCTTACTTGCTTTCACCTCTTGGTGCATTTCCTAAGAGGATCAATTAGCATTAGCTATGTCTGTGCCTTCTGATGGCATTCATGGAGCTGGCTTTTCCCTAATAGCAGAGTACTGATTCATCCTTATGCCATAATAGAACCTTCGGTTTGCCTTTTCTGTGATAGTACATTTCCTAAGATGAATCGTACTTTTATTCATCTAACATGTGTTGAGCAGCTTGCTTGGCATGTACATGATATTGTTTTGGCAGCACAACATACTAACAAGAAACAATATAATGTCGGCGCTCTTAATATCTGCACTGCAGGTGTTGTCAACCGCCGCTGACAACCAGACGCAAGTGGGCATCAAGGTGCTGCAAGGCGAGCGTGAGATGTCAACAGACAACAAGCTCCTAGGCGAGTTCGACCTGGTCGGCATCCCGCCAGCACCGAGGGGCACGGCACGCCCCAGGTCGAGGTGGGATCGTGACGGTGTCGGCCAAGGACAAAGCGACGGGCAAGGAGCAGCAGATCACCATCCGGTCCTCGGGCGGCCTGTCGGAGGCGGAGATCCAGAAGATGGTGCAGGAGGCTGAGGTGCACTCGCACAAGGCCCTGATCGACGTGCGGAACACCGCGGACACCACCATGTACAACGTGGAGAAGAGCCTGGGCGAGTACCGGGACAAGGTCCCCGCGGAGGTGGTGTCGGAGATCGAGGCGGCCGTCGCCGAGCTCCGTGCTGAGATGGCCTCGGACGACGCCGAGAAGATCAAGGCCAAGATCGACGCGGCCAACCGGGCTGTGTCCAAGATCGGGCAGCACATGTCTGGCGGTGGCGGCGGGGCTGCTGGTGGTGAGCCGGGGTCGCAACAGGGTGGTGGTGGCGACGCAATCTTGTTGTGATGTTACTCCCTGTAAGCTGTAACCCATGAGGGAGAGATGTTTGATGCCTGGAGGTAGCTAGGTAAAATCTTCTAGACGAATGGCAGATAGCATTGCGCCTCATTCCAGAAAGAGATATCTTCATTCAGTTGCTGATGAGGAACTGCCAGGATAACGAGGATTTCGGGGAAGATGTCATCATCTTGCTCTCATTTGTACTTGTACAGCCTTTGCTAGAGGAGATGAATGCCATTTCGGTCGGTGTTCTCCATTATCAATCCCTGCATCTTCTTAATGATCATTTTGGGGAAGGTGTGTATTTGCTGATGCAGCTCATGGTGGTTAATTTACAGGTTAAGCACCGTCTCGACAGGCTGAAATCCAGCTGAAACACAAGGATGACCAGTCACCTGATGGCTCTACTTATATCTACTAGTGTACCGCATATAATAAGCTAATTAACCTACCTTGCCTTGTAAAAATGGTGATACCTTTTTGTTTAAGCTTTCACACATGTCTGCGCCATGTATTTGGTGGCCGGTTGGATGTATCGTAAGAGAACTTAAATAACCGAAACACAATGTGGCCGGTTGGTTTCTTCCTCCCTCCCTCACATTATTTTTGTTGGTTAGTGGCAACACCGTTCATGCTTCCGCACAAGCGATCATCGAGAATCTTCTTCTTCATCTCTTGTTGCTAACTGCATGATACAAAAACCAATCAAATCATACTTCTTCACCTAATCTCCTAGATGAGGCCGAGGATGACAATGGCGCCGATCGTCGATCTAAAGCCACTTGCAATCTCACGGCAATAAAACCAAAGATGTTTGCGTTGTTGTGTCACCAGTCAGCACAAAGCTAGCTACGCGCAAAGATATTTTTCTAGTTATCGTATACTCAGACTAATGATCTCTACTTTTTTTTGAGTGGACGCAAATTGCGTGGCTTAGCTTTATAGAAGACAGAGGGTAAAATACAAAAAAGACTGGCAAGCTCCCACTACAACCCGGCAAGAAGCAAACTCACTCCAACTCCAATGTAGACAGTACAACCACAGCACATAAGAACATGCCCTAAACTGATCAACGAAGCCGCGTCTCAACCAACACCGGTCACCTCCGAAGAGCACAACTCCAAAAGAACTCTCCTTGCCGATGCACCAACCACCCTAGAGTGCATAAAAGAGTTGGCTGGTGGGTGGTGGGACTCAGACTAGTAAATTGCTGAAAACTACCACATTTGTGGCCAGAGTACTCCAAAACTAACCTTTTTGCCAAAAATCACGAAAGACCACCACTTTTGGTGCAAGTGAATAACAAAACACACTAAACGAGCTGTGAGCCGTGACTAAGTGAAAATCTGGCATTTTGGGGCCCCCCTGTCGGAACCACGTGGCCAGGGCAAACGGCCGAGGCCAGACGACAGTTACCACCGCTCGTTAAGTCTTAGTCACGCGCGGGAGGGCATTTCATCCAACCGCTCTCTCCTCTGCTCGTTCCCCTCTCGCACCACAGCAGCTGCTGCCGCCGCCGCGACCAGCTTTGCACCGCCGACGGGAGGGAGACATGGTGTCTTGGGATGATCTGCCAACGTCGTCTGACGATGAATCTGTGATAAGCCAGGTTAGCATCTGCTCCTTTGAACCACACCTAGGGTTAGGGTTCTAGGGAGAAAGGGGAATTTCTGTTCCTAATCAAAATTGAAGCCATTTTGCTTATGTTTAGCCACCTGCGACCATGGAGTGCACGAAATGGAGCGGCCTGGCTCTAAATCATGATGCACGTTATGAGCATCGAGCCCCCTGTGAAAAGTTGGTGGCATTTGAATCCACTAATAGTGACAGGAGGTTTCTAGGCTGTGCAAAAAAGGTAAGTGAGCAGTGCAATTAGCTGTTTTAGTGATTTTGTGAAATCTGTGAATTGATTACTTCTTAATTCACATAGAATTAGTCTGCAATTAGGATGTTAAAAGTATAATGCTCTGGCCATAAATCTTGATACAACAATAGTACCAAATGCATAAGTAGCTAGTGCAGTGTAGGAGTTGTCAGTTTTTTATGCTCTGGCCATTAGTCTTGATATAAAAGTATAAATCTCTGGCCATAGCTCTTCTTTATAAGTATTTTTAGCTCTCTATTATTTATCAGTAGTAGCCAATGCAGTCTTGTTTTTGTTTTTCTTTATCATCACTGTTGCTATATATTTTTATCAGTAATGTTGCTCTATATTTTTATGTGTTTGATATTATAGCAGTAGTATTTTAGCTCTATATTATATTTATACAAGTAGAACATTAGCAGAATTAAATTGGTTAAGTGGTTTTGCGTTGTTTTCAGTAAATTGGTTCTACATTGGTTTGAATATTATTTCCTTTTTTCACACATTTATAGGGCGGCGATCCACGAGGCTCATGGGTGATCACGTCGACCTAGGGCAACCCATAGCCGCTGCACGCCCTGACATGTCCTACCGCATGTGGGGTTTCGGGTTTTGAAAAGCGCTCGCCGAATTGCTTGCGTACCGCGCTTCCGGCCGGGTCTTCTTCAAAGTGAGCTGCGGTGCATCTCAAAGTAAATTTTTTCGTACATGTATCTTTCACCTGGAAACCACGCCAGCTGGTTAGCCGTTAATTAAGATAGAGCTACAATTAATTGGCAACGTTCTTTTTCCGGGGAGCCAATGGTTTAACAACACTACGACAAGTACAAGCCAGCTGGTTAACCGTTAAACAAGTACATCAACTGAATCAAATCATCCATTTCCAAGCTAGGCGACAGAGCCACCACCTCATATTTTACTCCCAATAATACACCATTTGCTGCTCTGACTTCCCATAGAGGATAGGATAGCTCCAAGACATAACAATTATTACATTACAAAAATAGCATCAAGAAGTTGACCCCCATCATTTGTCCCAAGAAATGGCAGCAGATGAGGCTGAATCTGTGCGTATATAACTAGGGGACTAATCGAGCAAGATGTCAAGCTAAGGTAGTAGTAGCTAGGACTAGGAGAGATGGAAAGGGAGAAGATGGAGAGGGGCAAGTCTGAGCTGAGGATGGCCATCGACGACCTCTGCTTGCCCAGCTCAGGAGATGGTGAATATCAGGAGCAGCAGGGGAAAGTTAGGAGGTCATCCACCATGGATCTCCTCTGTGTCTCCAACCAGCTTCTACGTGTCCTTGGTTAGTTACTCGAACAAAATTGAAACTGAAAACAGTATGGATTAAACTTCTATTTCTTCAGAGCTACTCTGTTTTAAACCTTGGCTTACCATCCCCTCTTCTTTCAATGTATATATGCTTTGTCTTTGGCTGTCAAAGATGGATTGGGCCAACGCTTCTAGTCCTCAGACAAGACATTAAGCAAAATGTTGAGGTAATATTGTGATTCTGCATTGCGTTTGTTCACATAACTAAGCGACTGAGCATACCGACTCCCTCCGTTAATTGCATTGAAGTGATTACAGTTATCTATCATTCGTTTGCAGACAATACAATATCTCCATGCAAGAGACTCTTTGAAGTATGCGAGCTTGACGGCAATCGTGATAGAGGAAGTGGAGGAAGGGACCTCGAAGAAGGCCCACAGTTGTACCAGGGCAATTATCTGTCTGGCTAGGTAACTTAGATGTACATGGGTTGTCTTATCATTGTACTGTATATGTCCATTCTATTTCCAAACCTTTGTTCTCACGTGTCGGGAAACACGTTTGGTTTAGGTCGGTGGATTTCTCGATACGTTTGCTGGAGAGATTAGTGAAGAACCCAGAGTCAAGCCTGCAAGAGATGGTGGAAGAAGCATATGAGAGCACCCTGAAGCCATTCCATGGATGGATCTCATCAGCTGCTTACAGGGTATGGCCACTTTGATCAGCTGTCCATCATCATGGCTGCTACATATTTTACATGACCGTATAAGCTACTTCCTCCGTTCACTTTTGTAAGTCATTTCAGATAACTCAAAATAGGCTATTTTGTACATTGTCTGAAATGTCTTCAAGGTCTTATAAAAATGAACAGAGGGAGTAACAATTTTCTGGAGATTGTTCCAGCGATAAATCTAGTACTCTTTTTTCACTGTATGCTTTGTTTTTCGCCGTCAAAGATGCGATTGGGCCAACGCTTCTAGTCCTCAGGCAAGACATTCAGCAAAATGATCAGGTAATATTGTGATTCTGCATTGCATTTGTTCACATAACTAAGCGACTGACTGAGCATACCGGCTCCGCGTTTTAATTGCAGCGAAGCGATCACAGTTATCTATCTTTCCTTATGCAGAGATTACAGGATCTCCATGCAAGAGACACCTCGAAATACGCGGGCTTGATGGAGATCGTGATGGAAGAAATGGAGGAAGGGACCTCAAAGAAGACCAACAGTTGTACAAGGGCAATTATCTGGCTGGCTAGGTAACTTAACTGTACATGGACTGTCTTATCATCTAACAACATATGGTACCTGTATACCATATGTGTCATTTTTGTTCCAAAACCTTTGTTCTCATGTGTCGCAAAATACGTTTGGTTTAGGTCGGTGAATTTCTCGATATGTTTGCTGGAGTGATTAGTGAAGAACCCAGAGTCAAGCCTGCAAGAGATGGTGGAAGAAGCATACGAGAGCACCCTGAAGCCATTCCATGGATGGATCTCATCAGCTGCTTACAGGGTATGACCACTTTGATCAGCTGACATACTGTTGTCCATCATCACGGCTGCTACGTACTCCCTCTGTCGCATAATATAAGAGCATTTTTGACACTATATTAGTGTAAAAAACGGTCTCTTATATTATGTGACGGAGGGAGTATTTTACATGACTGTATAAGCTAGCAATCTTTCGGAGATTGTTCACGTGATAAATGTAGTTCACTTTTTCGATAAATGTTAATACTCCATTGGATCCATATTAGTTGTCAGTGATTTAGTACAACTTTGTACCAATCAGCGATAATTAATGTGGATCGGAGGGACTCGAGTTTGAGTTTTGTCAATTGAACTAACGTGTTGGGCATACTTGCAAACTGTCAGGTAGCATTGCGACTCATTCCAGAGAGAGACATCTTCATTGAGTTGCTAATGGGGAACTGCCAGGATACCGGGGATTTTGGGGAAGATGTCATGATCTTGGTCTCCATTGTACAGCCTCTGCTAGAGGAGATCAATGTCATCTACAGATGTCTGCGTTGTATTTGTTGTTGTACCTGTAGTTTAATAGCCGGTTGGATGTATCGTGTCAGAGGACTTAAAATAACTGAAGCACAATGCATCTCTTGTTTTTCCTTTTGATTTCTTCCTCTCCGCCTCACCGTATTTTTTTGGCCGATGCGTGGGTTGGCCCATTCGCCGGACGCCTCCGCCACCATGGGGCCGGCAAGGAGCAGCAATAGCGTTCGGTCGCGCGGCTTCTTCGGCCCGGGCCGCGACCTGGCCGTTGGCGAGCTGCCGGCGCCGTTGCTCGGGGCGGGGCCGGCAAGGAGCAGCAGCAGCAACGTTCGGCCACGCGGCTTCTTCGGCCTGGGCCACGACCTGGCAGCTGGCGAGCCGTCGACGCCGTTGCTCTGGGCGGGGCCGGCAAGGAGCAGCAGTACCGTTCGGCTGCGCGGCTTCTTCGGCCTGGCTCGCGACCTGGCCGCCGGCGAGCCACCTACGCAGTTGCTCAGGGCGGGTTGGCGCAGCTTCTCACGGACCCGATTGCTTTTTTTCAAAAAACATATAAGGACCCGATTGCTTTTTAAAAAACTTACACATGGGACTCACATGTAAGTTAACGGTCAAAGTAAATGGTCAAACAAACGGTTATCTTACATTTGGATCCCAATTGTCATAATCGTCATCAACTGATAAAGAATTGATGATTTGGATTTTTTGAAACAGTTGACCACCCATTTGGTAGTTATTTAAGAAAAAAATAAAAAACCGACAGTTTTTTGAAACCCTAACCTGTAAAGTAGTAGTTTTATACTATTTATTACTCGGTCAGCACAAAGCTAGCTACGCACAAAGATATTTTTCTAGTTATCATATGCTCAAACTAATGATAATATATGCCGGCACGTCATAATCTCTACTTAATCCAGTATGCAACTTGATAGTTTGTTAGCAAAAGAGAATAAATTTAAAAAACAAAGACTTATATTAAATTAGAAAGAAAAAGCAACGACTGCGAGATACAGAAACCAAAGAAAACATGATTGTTTACCTAATCACTTGACATGCGGATTGACAATGACAATGACGCTGACCTAAGGGCATTTCTACCTGACTCCTTATAATGTAAGTCCTTAGAGCATTTCTAACCGTTTCCTTATAGCCAGTTAGAGGAGTAAAAATTTAGTTTTACTCCACTAGCGGCACCTAGCCGATCCTCAATCCGCCGTAAGGGAGTAAACTTTTTACTCCGGCCCCAAACTTCTCTCTAAATATACCCACCGAGATGGGCCGGATTATAAATTTCAGCTCTCTCTCTCTCTCCCTCCCTCCCCCCCTCTCTCTCTCGCCTCCCCCTGTTGCTCCTGCGCGCCGCCGGCCGCGTTGCTTCCATGCACGCCGCTGCCCCCCGCGCCCGTACTGGTGCCGCAACCACCATGGACGAGCTCCGAATTCAGAGCTGGGCAGGCTCGTCGTCGGTCCCGTCCGCCATAGCCGCGGATCGAAACCCGCCATCGAAATCGAATCGCCCCTTGTTGTGTCGATCGTTTCCTCGGGGGAGAGGAAGTTGGCTGGATGGGGTGTAACAGAAGTTTTGCGTGCTCGTTGATTAGGATGGAAGCGCTAGCTTTGATTTAGTCGTTATGGCTATGCCGAAATGATTTGGTTTTGTATCGCACTGATACTATATTTTGAGTTAACACCCTTCACTGAAAAAAGGAACCTTGCATGCACGCACTTAGGTCGTTATATGGATCTCCATTTAGTTATAGATGGTTGCTCAATATAAAATTCACCCATATAAGAAACCATGCACGGCAGTACGTACGCCTCATTGGACAAATATATAGACCAACACCATTGATCATCATTGATTAACCTGGTTAATGTGTAGCAAGTCTGTCCATTTCGAGAGGCAAATCACGCTCATAGGCTACACACTGCCCAGTGGCTTACCGCACGCAAAAAAGCGCGCGCGCGCGCACACACACACTCATTGGTCAGTTGCTGCTTCTACAAGCACCAGCTTAAACAAAGTCGCTCCAGTAATCTGTAAGAGATCATATCTTAGAGGATCCATGGCAATATAACTTCTGTGTAAATATAAGTAAACATAACTTATTACATTGTCTTTCTTATCCAATATCAATTATTTGATTTGAAATAATTAGTTAGGGCTCACAATCATAAAAAATATTCAAGATAGTATATTTATATGTGAAATCTCTCTTACTTTATTATCCTTTCATGAATTGTATCAATGACCAATGCTATGTTTGTTAATTTCCAATAAGTTTTATCAACTAGACTTCTTTTATGTGAAGTCATCACTTCCCATGGGATTAGGAGGATTTTTTGAAACTATGATGATTTTTATAGCAAATTCGGAAACTACACACCCTAATGCATAAAAATCAAAAGTATCACCCTGTCGGCCTCCTGTTGGCTGAAGAGAGACTTTTCGGTCTACTGTTGGCCGAAGAGGGTCTTTTCGGCCAACCGTTGGCCAAAGAGGACTTTTCGGCCAACCGTTGGCCAAAGAGGACTTCTCAGCCAACCGTTGGCCAAAAAGTCCCTCTTCAGCCAATGGTAGGCCAAAAAGTGGTCTTCGGTCAACACGTGCTCTCCTGTTTTAAAAAATTCATATCAATTAGGACTTTTAGTATTTTAATTTGATTCTTTTTGCATTAGATTAGAAATTTTATGAAGTTTCTGTAAATATCAAGTTTGACTAGATTTGAAAATTTAAATTTAAATTTTCATGAATTTGCTCAAATCACTAGATTGCCTATAATTTGAGTTAGGAGTATTTTTTAGATGATTCTTTTTTGCTACTGGTTCTTTGTGACTTTGTTTATCAGTAGTAATTAATTGGCAAATTTTAGGATTATTTAAAATTAGATTTTTATGAAAACAATTCTGTTTCGGTGTTTTATAGGTTTTGTGCTATTTCTTTTAATTTTAATTAATCTAAATTATTTTCTTTAGATTTTTTTGACATATTCTTTTAGTTTCTGTTAATTTATCAGTAGCTATTTATTTGTAGTATTTTTTGCATTTCATTTCTTTTATCCTACTAGAAAACTTTGAGCTTGATAGGAGTTTATATTTAAAAGTGCCTTATAAATCCTGTACAACCATTGCCGTTTTATACATGAAAAAACTATACTTTCCCGCAATCTTTTTCCCTCCATTTTCTTTCCCGCCATTTTCTCTGCTGCCATTTTATCCCGCCATTTTCTTTCCCGCCATTCTCTCCCGCCACACTAAGGAGGCCAGTGTAGTCTCGTCAAGATGTCCGGTTATCCTTTTGATCGTAGTTGTTTTCACCATAGTGTGTTCAAATGTCTTTTGGGTTTAGACACCAGTTTCACGATAGACAATAGGATAGTTCCATGGGACGAACTCCTTAGTAGTGACACCTTACTGAATGAGTTGGCTCACGCATTAAGTAGGTGCGGGTAGCCTGGAAGGACCTTTGAGGAGATACGAAAAGAACGTCTCAGGTTGCATGGAAGATGGAAGAAGCAACAACATAAGGGTGAAGCATTCCTAAAGGCTGCAACAGAACATACTTATTTATGGACCCAAGACAACGAGGACGAAGACGATATTTTCATGCCGAGCACCAAGGGCAAGAGTACCGCATCGTCAAAGGGCAATAGTACCGCATCATCAAAGGGCAAGAGTGTTGCATCGGTGGAGGATGACGATGATGCCTTCATGTGGAGTGTGAAACACTCTCTAAGAGAAGTCATTAGTGTGAAACACTCTCCGATGATGTAACGCCCCGAGACCGATGTGCCAGGTGTCGTCCAGTTATTCGCTGTTGTTGCCTTATCTTTGCTTGTGTGTCATGCATTGCATATCATGTCATCATGTGCATTTCATTTGCATACATGTTCGTCTCATGCATCCTAGCATTCTTCCCGTTATCCGTTTTGCAATCCAGCGCTCCTATGTCACCCGGTGTCCCTTCCTACCTTCTTTTCATGTGTGGGGATTAAACATTTCCGGATTGGACCGAGGCTTGCCAAGCGGCCTTGGTTTACTACCGGTAGACCGCCTATCAAGTTTCGTACCATTTGGACTTCGTTTGATGCTCCAACGGTTAACCGAGGGACCAAAAAGGCCTCGTGTGTGTTGCAGCCCAACACCCTTCCAAAGTGGCCCAAAACCCACCAAAAACCTCTCATCTTCTAGAGCGTTCGATCACGATCGCGTGGCCGCAAACCGCACCTCATTTGGACTCTCCTAGCTCCCTCCACCTATAAATATGTGTGCCTCCCCGAATTTTGTCGCAGTCTAAACCCTAGCCTCTCCTCCCCGCGCCGCCGGACTTGTCCGTCTCGCCGCTGGACGTGTCCGCCGCCGCCGCCACGTCGCCCGGACCAATCAGGGGCCGACACCTCAGCTGGCCACCGCCCTCGCCCAACCGGGCGCCGCCACGCGTCCCCGCGCCCACTTCCCCGCCGCGCGGGACTGCCATGCCCAGATCTGGCCCGCGCCGGGCCGAACCGGGTTCGCCGCCGCGCGCTGGGAGCCCGAGCGCTCCGCCGCCGCCGCTCAAGCTCCCGCCGACCACCCATGGCTCGTCGGAGTCCGTTCCCCTCGCCGGCCTCCATTCCTCGCGCCTTCGCTTCTACTGCAACTAACCCTCGCCGCCATGAAATCCATGGAGCCGAGCTCCCGATCTTCGACGCCGGCGTCGCCGAGCCCCGCTGACCTCAGGAACGGGTCCCGCAGCCTCGGCCTCCGCTCCCCGCGCCCGGATCTGGTGGGTCTCCGCCGTCCCTCGTCGGCATCGCCATCGGGCGCCGCCGCCCTTGCCTCCTGGGATCCAATCGGGATCGAGGGAGACGAGCGCGCCTCCGTTGACCCTCCGCATGGGCCTCGCAGGCCGCGATCTCACTGAGGCCCATCTCCGTCGGCCCGCTTGCCTCCTCTCCACGTCTGGGCCGAAGCCCATGGTGAGCCACCACTATTCCCCGGTCGTGCGCACGATAGCTATCCTGCGCCCATGTTTTTTTTCACTAAGTCCCCGAAATTCCCAGATCCATATGCCCTTGTTCATCGTGCCGTAACTTTGCATCCATAGCTCTGATTCATGCATATAGCATATCAAAATGTTCGTATCAAAGAGTACATCATTTCATCTCATTGCATCATTTTCATTTGAGTTTATCTTGATGTCTGAAATGCTGTTAGAAGAATGCTATTTGAGATAATTGTCAGATCTGCTGCTCCATTTAGATATTTGTCATTTTTGCCATGATTATTATGTGCATGGTATGCCCATGAGCTCTACATATGTTTTGTTAAGGGTTTTGCCATCTTTCCAGAGGTGCAACCCATGTATTTTTGTGATGTGTGTGGTGACTAGCACAAGCTTGCCAAGTGAGGCACTTGGTAAGGCTGATTTCAGGGACTTAGCTTTTCCACTAAGTCCTTGACCTGTTTATCTCATTATGCCATATGTTCATGTTGTTTCCTAGTGATCCGTGCCTCTTTTGAGGATGATAAGTAAGGATGTTTTGTTAATCTTGTAGTGCTCTATCCATCCATGTATTTGTTTGCAATTATGGAGCACCCTAGCTTGAGTCAATCGAGCTCTACTTTTATCATTTCGTGAATCTGGCCAGATTGTCTACTTGTTAGCAATTTTGCCGAGGATGTTGTAGTTGATCCGTGCATGCTATGCTATTGTTCTTGCCATGTATAGCTTGCATTTTGTGTATTCTTGATGGGTGTATGCTTAGCTTGTCATGACTTGCTCTGTAGGGAGTGCATCGAGCTCGTAAACATGCCTACTTGATATCTGTTTTTAGCATGCTCCAGTTTTCACTAAGTCTGAGAACTGATTATGTTTTTGCCATGTTCACATGCTTGCAAATATATTTTCTGATCCCTTTTGGCTCAAGGTCACTAAGGGACTTTTGTTAAGCTCTTTGAGTAGCTCCATGCCATGCTTTACTTTGCCATGTTCAGGTCCTGTAGCATGTAGTTTTGTTGCTCCGAAGAGTGCTATCTGATCTGAAATTCCAGGCTTGTGTTAATTTCACTAAGTCTGAAATCTGTTTACCAAATGCATTTTTGCCATGCTTGTTTGAACCTGTTAATGGATGAATTGGCCGTAGCTCAGTGCTAGACTTTTGTTAAGCATCATGAATGGATCCCTGCCATGTATTTTGTTGCCATGTTTGGGTGCTGTAGCATGTTCATATTGTTGCATTTATATGGCTACTTGCTGTTTATCGCAGACCGGTGCCATATTTGAATTGCTTGCCATTTCCAAACCGTAACTCCGATTCCGGTGATCTTTATATCGTTTTCAAGCGATTTCATCTCATCTTTCTAGTGGCACACTTGGATTTCCAAGTTGAGGCCAGGTTCATTCATTTCCCTTGCAAATCATGCATATGCATCGCATACTGCATCCCGCATATCATACCATGTTCTTGTGTTGGTTGTTTACTATGTTGTGTGCTTCTTTTCTGGTGTTTGCTTCTTCGGGTTGGTTCCGATAACGTCGCATTTGTGAGGACCCGTTCGTCAACGTTCGTTTGTCTTCTTCATGGACTCGTTCTTCTTCCTTGCGGGATTTCAGGCAAGATGATCATACCCTCGAAATCACTACTATCTTTGCTTTGCTAGTTGCTCGCTCTTTTGCTATGCCTATGCTGCGATACCTAACACTTGCTTATCATGCCTCCCATATTGTTGAACCAAGCCTCTAACCCACCTTGTCCTAGCAAACCGTTGTTTGGCTATGTTACCGCTTTGCTCAGCCCTCTTATAGCGTTGTTAGTTGCAGGTGAAGATTGAAGTTTGTTCCTTGTTGGAACATGGAGATGTTGTTCCTTGTTGGAACATGTTTACTTGTTGGGATATCACACTATATCTTATTTAATTAATTCATCCATATACTTGGTAAAGGGTGGAAGGCTCGGCCTTATGCCTGGAGTTTTGTTCCACTCTTGCCGCCCTAGTTTCCGTCATATCGGTGTTATGTTCCCGGATTTTGCGTTCCTTACGCGGTTGGGTTATAATGGGAACCCCTTGATAGTTCGCTTTGAATAAAACTCTTCCAGCAAGGCCCAACCTTGGTTTTACCATTCGCCACCTAGCCTTTTTCCCTTGGGAGTCGCGCATCCCGAGGGTCATCTTATTTTAACCCCCTCGGGCCAGTGCTTGTCTAAGTGTTGGTACGAACTAGAGTCCTTTGCAGCGCCACCTCGGGGAAACTTGAGGGCTGGTTTTAGTTGTACGGAGTGCTCATCCGGTGTTGCCCTGAGAACGAGATATGTGCAGCTCCTATCAAGATGTCGGCACATCGGGCGGTCTTGCTGGACTTGTTTTACCATTGTCGAAATGTCTTGTAACCGGGATTCCGAGTCTGATCGGGTCTTCCCGCTAGAAGGTCTATTCCTTTGTTCACCATGAGAGCTTGTCATGGGCTAAGTTAGGACACCCCTGCAGGGATTTGAACTTTCGAAAACCGTGCCCGCGGTTATGGGCAGATGGGAATTTGTTAATGTCCGGTTGTAGATAACTTGAACCTTAACTTAATTAAAATACATCAACCGCGTGTGTAACCGTGATGGTCTCTTTCCGGCGGAGTCCGGGAAGTGAACACGGTGTTGGAGTTATGCTTGACGTAGGTTGTTTTAGGATCACTTCTTGATCATACTTTTACCGACCGTGCTTTGCCTTCTCTTCTCGCTCTCATTTGCGTATGTTAGCCACCATATATGCTAGTCGCTTGCTGCAGCTCCACCTCATACCTTTACCTTACCCATAAGCTTAAATAGTCTTGATCGCGAGGGTGCGAGATTGCTGAGTCCCCGTGGCTCACAGATACTTCCAAAACCAGCTTGCAGGTGCCGTTGAACCGTGCAGGTGACGCAACCAAGCTCAGGAGGAGCTCGATGAAGATCTTGTCCTTTGTGTTGTTTCGTTCTAGTTGATTAGTAGTGGAGCCCAGTTGGGGTCGATCGGGACCGTGTCGCATTTGGGTTCTTCTTTTATTTTGGCTCCGTAGTCGGGCCCTGGTTGTATCTGGATGATGTAATGTTTTATTCATGTAATTGTGTGAAGTGGCGATTGTAAGCCAACTATGTATCTCTTTCCCTTATGTATTACATGGGTTGTGTGAAGATTACCTCACTTGCGACATTGCTTTCAATGCGGTTATGCCTCTAAGTCGTGCTTCGACACGTGGGAGATATAGCCGCATCGAGGGCGTTACAGATGATGATGATGAAGCTGCAAACACTTATGACTTCTCTCAGATAGTGTTTCACACTCCACCACCTGCACCGACGCAGGAGACACAGACCGTGTCAGACGATGTTATCTACGGTCGTGGACACCATGAGGCTCATTTTATAAGTTGAGAAGAAAAGATGGCGAGAAAGAAGATGGCGGGAAAGAAGATGGCGGGAGAGAATGGCAGGAAAAAAAATGGCAGGGGAGAATGGCGGGAAAGAAAATGGCGGGACAGAATGGCGTGAAAGAAAATGGCGGGAGAAAATGGAAGGAGAGAATGGCGGAAAATAAAATGATGGGAAAGAAAATGGCAGGAGCAAATGGCGGCAAATAATGGAGGGAGAGAATGGCGGGAGAAAATGGCGGCAACGAATGGCGGGAAAGAAAATAGCGGGAGAAAATGGAGGGAAAGAACGGCAGGAAAGAAAATGGACGATAAAATAAATAAAATAAAAAATACTACAAATAAAATATCTACTGTTAACTTAACAGAAACTAAAAGAATATGTCAAAAAAACTAAAGAAAACAATTCAAAGCAATTAAAATTAAAAGAAATAGCTCAAATTAAAAGAATCATCTAAAAAAATACTCCTAGCTCAAATTATAGGCAATCTAGTGATTTGAGCAAATTCATGAAAATTCAAATTCAAAGTTTCAAATCTAGTCAAACTTGATATCTACAGCAACTTCATAAAATTTCTAATCTAATGCAAAAAGAATCAAATTAAAATATTAAAAATCCTAATTGATATGAATTTTCTAATACAGGAGAGTAGGTGTTGGCCGAAGACCACTTTTCGGCCCATTGTTGGCCGAAGAGGGACTCTTTGGCTAATGGTTGGCCTAAAAGTCCCTCTTCGGCCAACAGTAGGCCGAAAAGTCCCTCTTCGGCCAACGGTAGGCTGACGGGGTGATACTTTTGATTTTTATGCATTAGGATGTATAGTTTCCGAATTTGCTATAAAAATCATCATAGTTTCAAAAAAATCCTGGGATTAGCATATGAATTTTTTATCATCATTGCTGTGATCTATGGAAAAGAATAAAGGTAAAGAAACACTCAAACCCATACTACCCTTTATTAGAACTTTCAAGTACGATTACATTGATAGCTGGGTTGATGGATGATGACATGATGATTTTTCTGCTCCAACTAGATGATGACATGATGTTCATATATGCATACATCCCTTACCTAAAGCAGTTCTCTCTGATAAAATATGCCATTCTCGATGGTCTATTTTGCGAGGGAATCTTATATGTCACTCCCGAGGGATGATCTCCAATTAAAAAGAAGGCAACTTGCTATTTACAGAAGGCCAACTTAGTACTTGATTGTCTTTTTAACAACATTGTATCTGTGCAAGCTAGAAGAGTCTTATGCAGATTAATTGCTAATAATGGCTTAACAACACCAGAACAAGTACAAGTCCAGCTGCATCAATTGAATCAAATCATCCACTTACAAGCTATGCAACAGAGCCACCACCTCTTACTTTACTCCTAACAATACAATCACCTCTTGCTGCTTCTGTCTGACTAAACATGCATAGAGGATAGCTCCAACACGCAACTAGTATTACATCACAGAATAGCATCAAGAAGTTGACCCCTATCATTTGCTCCAAGAAATGGCAGAAGATGAGGCTGAATGTGTGTGTATATAACTAGGGGACTAATGGAGCCAGATGTCAAGCTAAGGTAGTAGTAGCTAGCAGAGATGGAAGCAGAGATAGAAAGGATGAAGATGCACAAGGGAAAGTCTGAGCTGAGGATGGCCATGCATGGAGGACAGGAGGAGCTCTGCTTCGTCAGCTCTAGAGATTTTTTTAGAAAAGGAGGCATAACCCCCGGCCTCTGCATCACATTGATGCACACAACCATTTTATTAAAAATCAAAGAGGTCCAAAAGTCTCCTCAACCATTCTCAAAATATCATAAAGAAACCAATGCCACACACGGCCAAAACAAAAAAAGCCACAACCGGCTAAAATAGATTAAGCTGCCTACACACCTAACCTATTACTGGACCGCCATCCATATCGGTTGTAAGTATCCCGTGCAACCGTTTCCCATCGGTTGCACCCAATAGCCATGTGCGCCCTGTGGTCCGTATGGCTCAGCAAGGACCACGTACGGATCCATGTAGACGCTCTGAAGATGACCTGCAAAAAATTAGTAATGTGTTATCTGTTAAAAGCCATGTCATTCCAACAATTCCATATAGCCCAAAGCAACGCACATGCTCCGACTCTGATTTGTGCTGCTGTTTGAGGTCTCACCCCGTTCAGCCAGTTATGAAAGAATTGTGATATTGAAGTTGGCGGATTGACATTAAAAGCCACATGAATAGTTCTCTAGAGTAACCTAGAAAGCGGACATTTGATAAACAAATGTTCAATTGTTTTGTTTTGATCACAAAAGCAACAACGGGAACTGCCTACCCAATTACGTTTGGCTAGGTTATCTTTGGTTAAAATGACACCTTTGTGAAAAAACCACATAAACACTTTTATTTTCAACGGCACTTTAATCCTCCAAATATGGCCCGACCTTGGGATGTCTCCGGTATTGATTAAATCCGTAGCTAGGTTATCTTTGGTTAAAATGACACCTTTGTGAACAAACCACATAAACACTTTTATTTTCAACGGCACTTTAATCCTCCAAATATGGCCCGACCTTGGGATGTCTCCAGTATTGATTAAATCCGTATACATAGTTTTAACCGTGAAGACTCCTGACATCGTTAACTTCCAAACTATCGTGTCATTGGCATCCGACAGATTAATATCCATTAATCTACGCACGAGATGCAACCATGTATCCCAACGTGGACCTACAAGTGCCCGTCTAGAATGAATATTGAGCGGAATGGACTGTAACACTAAAGCAACCGAAACATCTTTCCGTTGTGCAATGTTATATAAACTTGGATACTGCAACACTAATGGAGTGTCCCCTAACCAGGTATCCTCCCAGAATCTAGTTCCTTGCCCATTCCCTACTCTAAATTTCACTCTGTTAAAGAAAGCAACTTTCGTCCTCATAAGTCCTTTCCAAAACGGTGAGTCGGTGGGTTGTGCCGTTACGTGAGCCAAAGACTTCGCATATAAGTATTTGTTACGCAATAACTGCAGCCACACACCCTCTGTCTCTACTGAAAGACGATATAACCATTTACTCAGCAAGCATCTGTTTTTTACCTCTAAATTCTCAACACCCAAGCCACCTTGGTCCTTCGGTCTACAAATTATATCCCACCTGGCAAGCCTATATTTAGCCTTGTTCTCATCCATTTGCCAAAAGAATCTGGATCGGTAAAAGTCTAATCTTTTCCGTACTCCTACTGGTACTTCAAAGAAAGAAAGGAGGAACATCGGCATGCTAGTCAGAACCGAGTTAATAAGAATTAATCTTCCTCCATAAGATAAAAGTTTGCCTTTCCAGCAACTTAGTTTCTTCTCAAACCGATCCTCAATACACTTCCATTCTTTGTTAGTTAGTTTGCGATGGTGAATTGGTATCCCTAGATATGTAAAGGGAAGCACACCTAATTCACATCCGAACAACTGTTTATAGCTTTCTTGTTCCTCCTTGGCGCGTCCAAAGCAGAACAATTCACTCTTATTAAAATTAATCTTAAGTCCGGATAGTTTTTCGAACAAGCAAAGCACTAACTTCATGTTCCTTGCTTTCGCAAGGTCATGTTCCATAAAAATAATTGTGTCATCCGCATACTGTAGGATGGAAACCCCACCATCCACCAAATGTGGGATTAGGCCTCCTACTTGGCCTTCTTGTTTCGCCCTATTAACAAGAACAGTCAACATGTCGACAACAACATTGAACATAATTGGAGACATGGGATCAACTTGTCTTAATCCCTTAAGCGTCTGAAAGTAATGACCAATATCATCATTCACTTTAATACCAACGCTGCCTCCCTGCACAAAGGATATAACCTGCTTTCTCCAGGCTTCATCAAATCCTTTCATGCGCAAGGCCTGTTGCAGAAAAGGCCATTTGACTTTATCATAAGCCTTTTCGAAATCCACCTTGAAAATCACTCCATCGAGTTTCTTCGAGTGGATTTCATGAAGGGTCTCATGTAGGATAACCACCCCTTCTAGGATATGTCGCCCTGGCATGAAAGCAGTCTGCGTTGGCTGAACCATCGTATGTGCAATCTGTGTAAGACGGTTTGTGCCAATTTTCGTGAAAATTTTAAAACTCACATTGAGTAGACATATCAGTCTAAATTGCTCAATGTAGATTGCTTCCTCCTTCTTTGGCAATAAAGTGATAGTTCCAAAATTTAATTTGAAAAGTTGTAAGTGTCCATTAAAGAGATCATGAAACATAGGCATCAAATCTCCTTTAATGATACCCCAACACTTCTTATAGAATTCAGCTGGAAAACCATCCGGACCAGGTGCTTTATTGTTTTTCATTTGAGCAATCGCCTCATATACCTCCTTCTCAGAAAAATGAGCTGTGAGGATCTCATTCTCGTCATTCCGAAGTTGAGGGATGTCATCTACTCTTGCCTCATCCAGGCTGACAAAATTCTCAAATGGATCCCCAAACAATTGTTTATAATAGTTAGTGATGTGCAGCTTTAGGTTCTCATGACCTACAATCGTACCCTCATCCTGTTCAAGCTGGATTATTTTCTTTTTCCTATGTTTTCCATTTGCAATCATATGGAAAAATTGCGTGTTGTTATCCCCTTGTACAACGCGCCGCACTTTTGCTCTAAGCGCCCACTTCATTTCTTCCTCTCTAAGAAGCTTCGTCAGACTGACCTCAGCTTCTCTCTTAGCAACCCGATCATTGATGTCTAGATTCATACTTTCTGCCTTAATGTCTAGATCATCTATCAACTTGAGTAGTCTTTCCTTCTCAAGTCTATAGGCTCCACTAATATTCTTAGCCCAGCCTCTCAAGAACTGTCTAAGGTGTCTAATTTTGTATTGCCATCTCTCTATATTAGATGTGCCCTGTTGCTCTACCGCTGACTCCCTTTCAACCAATTCAAGGAAGTCCTCTCTCTCGAACCATGCAGTTTCAAAAGAGAAAACACTCTTGTTACCCAAGTGAACTGCCTCACCTGAATCCACAAGAAGTGGCGTATGATCAGAAACCCCTCTAGGCATCGCCATCACAGAAACTAGAGGAAATTTTTCTTCCCATTCGGTGCTCATGAGAACCCGATCAAGCTTTTCATAAGTAGGAGATGGAAGATTATTTGCCCAAGTGAATTGTCTACCAGTGAGCTCAATCTCACGTAGGTCCAAGCTTTCAATGATCTCCTCTGGAGATGGTGATGATCAGGAGCAGGAGTGGTACAAAATTAGGTCATCCACCATGGATCTCCTCTGCGTCTCCAAGCATTTCTCCATGTCCTTGGTTAGTTACTTGCATATATGGAACTAAAACTGAAACTTATGAGAACTGCACTTTGATTTCTTTAGAGCTACTCTGTTTTAAACCTTGGTTTACCATTTTTTTGAAACAGAGACAAAAGCTTTGCCTCATCTCATTAAAAAGAAGGGGAATAACAAAGTTTGCAGAGGGCCATTACACCTCACACAAATGGAAAGAAAATGCAAGCCTACTATCGCGACATCAAAAAACCCAAATGCTTCGCCCCTGCGACAATCCAGAGCGTCGCCTCTGCTTTAATAGCCTCAACCAAAACGTTTGGCAACCTACATACATGCTGGAACACCCTCGCGTTTCTCTCTTTCCACACTTCCCAAGTAACAAGCATGATGAGTGATAAAATCGCCTTCCTTATGTGTCCACGCCTAAGGACCACCGCGTACACCACTCTTTGACCGTGGGGATCCCATTCCAGGCCACAACGTCTAGTTCATGGAATCCACCCAAACCCTGATCGCATTCCAAATGCGGGCAGAGAACCTGCATTAGAAGAGAAGATGAGCTGCGGTCTCTAGCTCCCTCTTGCAAAGTTGACACAAGTTGCAGTTAGTTTACCGTTTGCACTTCTTTCACTATGAATATATCAGTAGATCAAGGTTTAGCTAACAAATGCTCTGTTTTTTTGTCGTCAAAGATGTGATTGGGCCGATGCTACTAGTCCTCAGTCAAGACATTGAGCAAAATGTTCAGGTGGTTGCTCTTTTTCTACGTAATCATTACTCCCATGTTGCCTTGCATTCTGCATTGCATTTGTTCACATAACTAAGCGACTGGGCATACCGACTTGATTGTGCCAATTGCAGTGAAGTGATTACAGTTACATAATAAGCGAGTTTCCCTTTGCAGAGATTACAAGTATCTCCATGCAACAGACTCTTTGGAATACGCGAGCTTGACGGCGATGGTGACGAAGGAAGTGGTGGAAGGGACCTCAAAGAAGACCAATAGTTGCGCCAGGGCAATTATCTGGTTGGCCAGGTAACATATGCTGTTTTATACCATATGTGTTAATTCTGTTTCAAAACCTTAGTTTTCATGTGTCGCCAAAATGCGTTGGGTTTAGGTCGGTGAATTTCTCGATACATTTGCTGGAGGGATTAGTGAAGAACTCAGAGTCAAGCCTGCAAGAGATGGTGGAAGAAGCATACAAGAGCACCCTCAAGCCGTTCCATGAATGGATCTCATCAGCTGCTTACAAGGTATGACCACTTTACTTTGATCAGCTGACATACTGCTGTTCATCATCACGTCTTTTAGTTTTACACGACCATACAAGCTAGCAATTTTCTGGAGATTGTTCACCTGATAAATCTAGTTCATTTATTTTTGATAAATGGCAATACATTAGTACTATCAAGCTGTTATTGCAGCCATTAGCTGGTTTGAGTTGTGTCCACTGAACTAACATCACGAGCATAATTGCAAACTGTTAGGTAGCATTGCGTCTTATTCCGGAAAGAGACATCTTCATTCAGTTGCTGATGGGGAGCTGCCAGGATCCTGGGTATTTTGGTGAAGATGTCATGGTCTTGGTCTCCATTGTACAACCTCTGCTAGAGGAGATAAATGCCATTTTGGTCGGTGTTACCCATTATGCACAAACACACATTCTTAATGAAACAGTCACTGCATTGCACTGAAGATATGTGTTTCCTGATGCAGTTCATGATTGTTAATATACAGGTAAAGCAACGGCTGGAAAGGCTAAAATCCACCTGAAACACAAGGATGAACAGTCACCTGATGAATCCGCGCATCTACCACTGTATTGCATAACCTAACGGTTAACATTTGACAAAGCATAGGCTTTCATACACCCCCTTATCTAGCCATACATTTCCGCATCAAGATTCGTGCGAGCACTTTTGTATTTTTTGTTTCTTCCAAATAAAACAACATATGAACTATAAACTTTGGAGGACAACAAAACATTCTAACCAGAATGTTAGAAAAAACTTTCAGATTTTTTCGTGAAACATATATACTAAAACTAATATTTTTTACCCCCCCAAAAATCTCATTTTGTATGTTTATGTCGTACCAAAAAATCTGAAAGTTTTTTCCCACATTGTAGTTAGAATGTTTTGTTGTCATGGAAAGTTTGAAGTTCATATATTGTTTCATTTTGAAGAAACGAAAAAGAGAAATATGCATGTAACACGTTAATTATGTAGCACGGATCTCAAAGCAAGATTGTAGGGTATGGATAGGAGGTGTGGAAGCCTGAGCTTTTATAAATCCACATTCCTAAGCTAACTAACCTGCCTTGCCTTGTAAAAATGAAAGGTAAGGACTTGAAATGCAGGGCTTGTGCGCTTTTCTGCAGCGATCTCCTGTTTTAGAGAAGTTGACAGATCTTTAAGCACGGTATTTACGTTTGATCCACATTCCCCAGTTTGATTTATATAATCGTTCACACACATCTTTTTTGTTTTCCATGCGTACATGTTTTCTCTTAAGAAATGTATACCAGTACATGTTTTCTCTTAAGATTTATGAACTTGTGTGGATGAGAAGCGAAAAGGTGACAACACCGTTCATGCTTTCGCAAAAAGCGATCACCGATAATCTTCTTCTTGGTCACTTATAATTGATATATAAGGTGTAACATATTTGTTGTGTTCTTCTTGCTGTCTGCAAGATACAGAAACAAAGCAAATCTTGATTCTTCACCTAATCTCTTGAGATGAGGCTGAGGATGACAACCAAAGATGTTTGCGTTGTCGTGTCGCCGGTCAGCAGAAAGCTAGCTACGCGCAAAGTTACTACTTTTTTTAGTTATCGTATACTCAAGCTGGTGATGATATATGCAAGTGTTGGAAATATGAGCAATTTACCAAATAATTTTGCTAACGGAAATGCTAGATAAAGCATGACTAATATAGCAGAGATAAAACAAGTCATGCAATCTGACAGAGTGAAGGTAAATAGCATCTGCATATATGAACTTGAAATAAACACATCTAGAACAGACACTAGATGAAGTTGCATATATGAAGTAGCACCTATCATATGTAGGGCAGAAACTAGAGCAAAGAACTGTGGCAGGACATCTAACAGAAAGAGCAAGAACACGTACGGAACAGCAGCAGAAGAAGCACTGGACTTGGGGTCGACATCCTCTCCAGCCATGTCGTCGATGAGGTTGTCGACATCGGGGAAGAAGTCCTCGTCGGGGAAGTAGTCGTCGGAGTCCGTGATGAAGAAGTCAGTAGTCGCGCGGAGCGCTCCCCAAAAACTTTATCACCCTTCTCCCATACAAGACTCAAAAGGTGCGGTTCCGGAGGCCTACTGTCCCGACCTGCGGTGCATGCTGCAAGCCGGGATGGGGAAGATCGTAGCAGCAACGCAGTGCTCAGGAACTTTGTGGCGAGAGGGAGGGGATCTTCTGGTGTGTCTCTCTGGAGAGGAGCGACCTCTCTTATATAGGCACAGGAGAAGGACGCGAACAGGCTGCAGCGGGAGGTGAAGCAATGAAGGGAAACAAAGTGAACAGGCAGCGGCCAAAGAGGCGCGCCGTTCGGATTCAGTGTCCACTACAGAAAACGTTTCAGCTTCCACGTGACCTTTCGCATACCCGTCGTGCGTGGCAAAAATTTAGACATCGGCTCGGCTCATTCCCGCAACCCGCGTCACGTCGTGACGAGGCGTGGCGTGGCGTGGCGAGGCGGGCGGCGGAGGAGGAGCGCACGTGGATGTCCCTCTTGTTCTCATGCTCATACATGTGGGGAAAGAACCTCCCTTATAAAGAGGTCCAACTCCCTCTAAACTAGCAATGTGGGACTAAACTTTTGTTCCACCTCTTGCCTTCCACGAATGGGCTGCGTGGGCCTCTAGGATTTATTAGGAATTTCTGAAACTGCTATTGGGCTAGGCCCAAAATAGACAAAATTCCAGCAATCCCCCACCAGATCCCTGAGGCACACAAAATTTGCCTTTGGTTCGAAAACACTGTTTTATATACCGGTACTACATTGGAGACTGTTAAGTTGAACTTCCACCTAGAACTCTATGCTACACTAGTAAGCAACTTGAACAATGGACTAGGCCTTGTACTGCAAGTTTTCTGCGAATCTAGCTTCACATAAAGCCTTGACCGATACGTGGCTACCGTGGGTCTTCCCCGCGGGTGGAGCTTATGCGTCATACTCCGAGACCTTTCATGAGTTTACTAGAGAGAACCCTACTCTCATAGATTGCGATGTTTGACAATCAGACTCATATAGGTGTGTTCTTCAAAAGATGTTCTGCAGGACGACATCTCTGCTTCAATGAGCCACTTAGAACACATTAAGATATACATCAACTTGCCATGCAGATTAGGAGAGTATTGCATCTTCATGGAGTGGTATTGTTGATAATAAGGATACTCTCCTCTCAGTTGACCAACACCTTGTCTTCCACATCTAATTCACGGGATCTCCGATCACAAAGAATAGGTTACCACTGTGAACAACTCATATTGTGGGTCTCATACCCATCTCCCTCAATGCATTATCTATCACATTACGTGATAGACCCTTAGTAAAAGGATCTGCCAGGTTCTTAGACGTTTGGATATAATCCAATGCAATAACTCCGAAGTTCTTTATTTTCCTGACAGACTTTAACCTTCTCTGAACGTGTCTTGATGACTTCATGTTATCCTTTGAGCTTCTCACTTTTGTGATCACAGTTTGATTGTCACAGTTCATAAGGATACCCGGTACAAGTTTCTCAACAACCGGCAAGTCATTCAGGAGCCGAGAAGCCAATCTGCTTCGACCTTAGCTGTATCTAGTGCTGTGAGTTCTGCTTCCATTGTTGACCTCGTTAAGATGGTCTGCTTGCAAAACTTCCAAGAAACAGCGCCACCTCCATGAGTGAATACATAACCGCTCGTGGACTTTATCTCATCAGCATCTGAGATCCAGTTTGAGTCACTATACCCTTCAAGCACCTTTGGGTGCCTAGTGTAGTGAATTCCATAATTCACAGTGCCTTTCAAATAACGCAGAACTCTCTCTAGAGATTTCCAATGCACATCTCCTGGTTTTGAAACAAATCGACTGAGTTTGCTAACAACAAAAGAGATGTCAGGTCTTGTAGCACTGGCTAAGTACATAAGCGAGCCAATAATCTGAGAATATTTCAATTGATCTCTAGCAATTCTTCGATCCTTTCGAACCAGCACACTAGCATCATATGGTGTTGGAGAGGGCTTGCAGTCACTATAGCCAAAGCAACTCAAGATCTTTTCCACATAGTGAGATTGAAGCAATGTAGTCCCACCATCATCGTCTCTCAAAAACTTGATGTTCAAGACATCAGCCACTCCTAAATCTTTCATCTCAAAACTTCGAGATAGAAAGTACTTGACCTCCTTAATAACATTCAGATTTGTTCCGAAAATCAGTATGTCGTCAACATACAAGCAAAGGATAACTCCCTCGGCCCCACCATGGCGATAGTACACACAATTGTCAACTTTGTTTACAACAAAGCCTGTAGCTGTTAACGTTCTTTCAAACTTCTCATGCCACTATTTGGGTGCTTGCTTGAGTCCATACAAAGACTTCAGCAACTTTCACACTTTTCTTTCCTGACCATCTAGTACAAACCCATCTGGTTGTTCCATATAAATTTCCTCGTCGAACTCTCCATTTAAGAAAGCAGTCTTAACATCCATTTGATGAACAAGAAGACCATGCGGGCCAGCTAGTGAAAGTAGAACTCGAATAGTGGTCAGTCGAGCAACAGGTGAGTAAGTATCAAAGAAGTCTTCACCTTCCTTTTGGGTATAACACTTAGCCACGAGCCGAGCCTTGTACTTTTCAATAGTACCATCAGGCCTAAGCTTCTTCTTTAATACCCATTTGCATCCTATATGTTTGCACCCATAAGGACGATCAGTTATCTCCCAAGTTTCATTCGCCAAGATGGAATCCATCTCGCTATGAACTGCTTCC